TTTGCTGAGGGAGCTCAAACCACACCCAATGATGAACTTTCAACTTTGCTCTTGATAAAATCCAGCCTGATTGACCCTTTAGACTACCTTAAAGATTGGAAAGCCCCGAGCAGCGCGCCCGAAGGCCATGCGATCCAATGCAACTGGACTGGAGTCTCGTGCGACTCAGAAGGGTTCGTGGAGAAGCTTGATCTTTCCAACATGAACCTGAGTGGCCGCATTTCTGATCAGATTCAAGGGCTACACAGTCTATCTCACATCAACTTGTCCTCCAACGCATTCGAATCGCCGTTGCCAAGAGCTCTCTCCGATGTGACCTCGCTGAAGAGCATCGATGTGAGCCAGAATAATTTTGTTGGCAGCTTTCCTGTAGGCCTGGGAAGGGCCGGAGGACTAGTGCGAGTCAATGCTTCAAGCAATAACTTCGATGGCCCTCTTCCAGAGGATCTTGGGAGCGCGACGGCTCTCGAGAGCTTAGATTTGAGGGGTAACTTTTTTGAGGGCTGGATACCGACGTCCTTCAAGAATCTGCAGAATCTGAAGTACCTCGGGCTTTCAGGGAATAACCTTACTGGGCCAATCCCTGGAGAACTTGGGCAGCTGTCGTCCCTGGAGACGATCATCATCGGTTACAATGAGTTCGAGGGCGGGATTCCTCCTGAGTTTGGGAACCTTACGAATCTCCGGTATCTCGACTTGGCGGTCGGCACCCTCAGTGGACAGATTCCAGCTGAATTGGGGAGCTTGCAAAAGCTCACTACCATTTACCTGTTCTCAAACAGTTTCGAGGGAAGGATTCCCCCGGAAATTGGAAACATTTCGTCACTGATCTTCCTAGATCTCTCGGACAATAAGATCTCAGGGGAGATTCCAGTGGAGCTAGAAAACTTGAAGAATTTGCAGCTTTTCAACTTGATGTGCAATCAACTAACCGGGTCAATCCCGCAAGGTCTCGGGGAGTTGACCAACTTGCAGGTGCTGGAGCTGTGGAAGAACTCGTTGAATGGTACATTGCCGACCAATCTCGGCAAGAACTCTCCACTTCAGTGGCTAGACGTGTCGTCAAACTTGTTATCTGGTGAGATCCCTGAAGGATTGTGCAATACAGGCAACCTCACTAAGCTCATCCTCTTCAACAACTCCTTCTCGGGCTCGATCCCTACAGGCCTCTCGAGCTGTGCTTCATTAATTAGAGTTCGCATCCAGCAGAATCTTCTATCTGGGACGATTCCGGTTGGCCTTGGAAACCTGCCAAACCTTCAAAGGCTAGAATTAGCTTACAATAATTTCTCCGGTGAGATCCCACAAGACATTGCCCTGTCTACTTCACTTTCTTTTGTCGATTTTTCTTATAATCGCCTAGAGTCCTCTGTTCCTTCTGGTATCTTTTCCATTTCCAACCTCCAGAACTTCATTGCTTCCAACAACCTCCTGGAAGGCAACATCCCAGACCAGTTCCAAGATTGCCCGTCGCTCTCAGTGCTCGACCTCTCAAACAACCATTTCTCGGGGAATATTCCTGAGAGCATAGCGTCGTGCAAGAAACTGGTCAGATTTAATCTCAGAAACAACAAATTGACCGGAGGGATCCCCAGGGCGATTTCCACTATGCCCACATTAGCCATTCTTGATCTGTCCAACAACTCTTTGGCTGGTCGAATACCGGAAGTTATCGGAAGCTCGCCCACATTGGAGACGCTTAATGTGTCATACAACCATCTCGTCGGCCCCATCCCATCTAGTGGCATGTTTTCTAACATTAATCCTTCTGAATTAGAAGGCAATCCTGGACTCTGCGGTGGGGTTCTCCTACCGTGTTCGAAAAAGTCTCCTGCAACATCAGGAAGTAAAAGAGGCATGCACATATATCACGTCCTCATTGGATTCGCCATCGGAACGTCCGTGATTTTATTTCTCAGTCTGGCATTTTTTGCCGGGAGGTTTCTATACAGAAGGTGGTACTTGTACGATGGTTTCTTCTATGACTGGTTCAAGAGAGGAAATGAGGAATGGCCCTGGAGGCTGGTGGCTTTCCAAAGGGTAAGCTTCACTAGCAGCGACATCCTTGCTTGCATAAATGAATCCAATGTGATTGGCATGGGTGGGACCGGCATGGTCTATAAGGCTGAAGTGCACAGGCCCTACGTCGTCGTGGCAGTCAAGAAGCTCTGGAGATCGGGCTCCGATATAGAGAATGGCTCCGATCTGTTGCAAGAGGTGAATCTCCTAGGACGGCTCCGGCACCGCAACATCGTACGTTTATTAGGGTATCTCCACAACGAGAGCGACGTGATGATGGTTTACGAGTACATGCCGAATGGGAACCTTGGGACGGCGTTGCACGGCAAGCAGGCTGGGAAGTTGCTGGTCGACTGGGTCTCAAGGTACAACATCGCAGTTGGAGTGGCGCAAGGCCTGAACTACCTCCACCACGATTGCCATCCGCCAATCATCCACCGGGACATCAAGTCGAATAACATCTTGCTTGACAAAAATCTCGATGCGAGGATCGCGGATTTCGGGTTGGCGAGGATGATGATCCACAAGAACGAGACTGTTTCGGTGGTGGCCGGATCCTACGGATACATAGCACCCGGTTAGTATCAATCTCATTCACAATTTTTAAGATTAACAAATCGATTAGGAATATAGATCAATAGCAGTTGCGCCTTTCTATTGCAGAGTATGGATATACCTTGAAAGTGGATGAGAAGAGCGACATATACAGTTATGGGGTCGTCCTTCTCGAGCTCCTAACAGGAAAAACGCCCTTGGACCCATCATTCGGAGAGTCCATAGACATAGTCCAATGGGTTCGGACCAAAATCAAGGACAACAAAACATTGGACGAAGCGCTGGACGCCAGCATAGCTGGCCAGTGCAAACCCGTCCAAGAAGAGATGCTTCTCGTCCTGCGGGTCGCACTTCTCTGCACAGCGAAGCTGCCCAAGGAGCGGCCTTCCATGCGGGATGTCCTGACGATGCTCGGAGAGGCAAAGCCGCGCAGGAAAAGTGTCTGCTATAGCGACGCACCAAATGCTGGCAGAGAGAAGCCGATTTTCACTACTTCGCCAGTAGTCGGCCTCCTGTAGAACATTAATTTCCTAATCTTGATAGCATGTGCAGATCTTCATAATGTAGATTTCCTTTTCCTTTCACTAGATTCAATTAAAATTTGAATGAACTGGCGAATCTGACCATCAGGGAAGCTTTCGGTTTGCTTATCAGTTGTTCATTTGAACATGTTGATCCAGCTAAAGAAACAAATAAGGTATAAAGGATTTGCTCTATTCTTTCCCATTCATGCTGCAGTTTTGGCAAAGTACTCGAGGTCAATAAGTCCATTACGAACTTCAATATCTCAGATATGGCCATAGAAGCCGGTCCCAGAAGAAGGCAGACTTGCACTATTGATTTTGATCCGAGCGGTGAAACAGCCTATCCACCGAATTTAAATGGGCAAATCGGCATTGTCAGGTGGCACAATGGAACTTGTAAACCGGCTAATTTGAATGATCTTGACGGTGATAGATGCTCGCGATAACGTATACTTATACAGATGAGCGTCTAGTCGTGAATGGCAAATCTAGCTCGCTTCTTCCATCTCTAGCCCAATTTTCTTTCGTTCTTGAACATCTGAGATTGAGTTCAGATCTCAAGACACGAGCAGTGGTTGGTAACCGATGTCTCAATATGTTCCAGCAAAAGAGATTGATTGAATAGGTCCTGACTCAGCGGGAATATTGCTAACCCAAACAATGAACTGAACATATCCATCAACAGTAGGTTAGCAATGGAATTATTGGCGACTCAATATACTAAACCTCATGCTAGAAAATTATTGGCGACAAACTGATTTCCATTCCACCATTCGCTTTACTAAGCCTTATGCTGGGACAAACTCATTTTCAATCCATCGACTAATAATCGCTGTCATACATTTCTCTCCCCATCTGTAAGCATCTCAACAGTTCATCTAGAGCAACAGCAGAATACTAACACACTAACACAGGCAAAACACACAGAATTGTGCGACTATTGTTTGTCATCGCTATAGTGCTTGGATGTGTTTATACTGTGTGACTGTATTGCTGTAATGCTACCATTATGAACTCAATGTCTAGCGTAATATGTTTGGAAAATGTCGTAAAGCTTTGCATATATGTCAGGCTCTTGATCTTGAAAATAAATCTCCAGAAAAAAGTCGAGACTCAAGATGATCTCTCAAAAGCTGTAATAGATTCTTTGGAAACCAACTCTTTTTGCAGTGATCATAAACACTCAAGTGCAGCTCCGCTATCTATTGGCTGAGAGGTCTGAATTTTTCCAGAAACAAAGTTGAGGTCTTGAGGTCTTACCAATGGAGATCATCGATGCTGGATCGCGACCCGCTTGGAGAATTCGGTAGTAAATAAAATCAATCAACATCGAATTCATAAAACCGTATGCAACTGAGTCTCAGTTGGGGATGCTCTCAATAGTGGAGAGATGAAAAGTCTTTCAGATGCAGAGGACAAAGTGCACTGACCAAAAAAAAGGCACCATAGGCTAACATGAGAATTGTAGAAACTAAAACAGTCACCTTCCCTTTGCTTCCTTCCCTTTTCTTTTGGATTCAAAGTTTCTTTCTATGAGTTCGAGCAATTTCACGAATTTCTGGTGACGCTTCATTCTCACTTGCTTTGCTCCGTTTTCTCGTTGAGACAGACTAAGCATGCAAGCAAGGCAAGAAGTTGGGTGGTCCTGGGATCATCCAACTCTACATAGACCCGTCCATCCGCCAAAAAACTTTTGCCGTAGGCCATATGAATTTGTTGATAAGCACGGAGGGACAATTCACATCTTTTTCAGGATTTTTCCGCAATCAAAATTAGGTTCTATAAGAGTTAAACATCGTAGTGATATGAACATTATGTATGCATTAATACAGATGCAAGTAACCAATCTATCGACTTAATAGAGCAATCATATTCATCCAGATATAACTCTGCTGCAAATCATGCTTAAAAATTAACTCCTACCACTTGGATAACAATTTCCACATCAATACATACAGATCCAGTGTCCCAAAAGAAATTACACATAGATCAATATCAGATGGTAGCAACAGGCCCAAAAAGGACACTTCTGATATCGATTGTTAGACTAATGCTTGATTCCTTTCTCGCGCTTAAAACACAATTTAATCATGAAAAGATTGGAGATGCGCGCTTTTTATGGAATTAGTAGGCTTCTTCATATGCTTCGACCGAGAAAAACGTTAACCGCCGCCATACCTGATCTTCTTGGTATTGCCTCCGCCGCAGCTGATAGAGAACTCGCACCCGTATGCATTTCCGAAGCAAGAGAACAAGCCGCCTCCATCACTGTGCCTTCGTGGACGATCTCTCCCTTGGTTCGCACCCGATTTGGCAGTCTTCTTGCCGTGGTTGGCTCGGTCATGTACCGGAGGCAATTCGGTTCGCCACCGCTCGATCTTGGTCCTCAGGCCCTCGATGCTATCCTTCTCCGTCCAATTGTCGAGCAGTATGGAGCTCTCGGCCTCGTCGCGGTTGTTCTTATTAGGGTGTAGCAACCCCTTGGCTATGGCGGCCGCCACAATCGACGCTGATGGGCCCACATCGGATACGATCGACCCCAACATGCTCCCGCCTTTCGTCTGCTTGAATCCGACCATCGAGTCGTTGCAAATGGTGCTTCCAGGGTTGTATGAGTAGTCATTTGTCCTCTCGCTCTGCGATCGCCATAGCTGGATTTTCGTGGGATTCTTCTGTGGGGTGTTCTTGTTGCCATAATGTCCGAGTTGCTTTTTGTTGTCCTTCTGGTCCGCCTCTTCGCCGTCATAGAAGGCCAAAGACGCGCTCAGCTCCGAGTTCAACGGCATGCTACGCATGCTGCTATTAATGAGCGAGACGCCAAAATTTATCGCCCCTTGCGGCCGGCCTGATGGACGGAGAACCTGCACATCGTGGTGTTCACAATTCGATCGCCATTGTTAGATATTATCGACTGAACAAATTGATATCGAAAGGATACTATGGTTTCCATTTCGCTAATGATATATACCTGCAAAGTCATGAATCTCATGGGCGTGTTCTTGGTCCGCGTCCGCGATGACGGAGGAATGAGGCTACTGAGGAGCGCTCGGACCGTTCCGACGAGAACCACGCGGAGCCAAGTCAATGCGTAGATTTCGATGGTGATCACGCAGGTGTCGGTCTCCAGGGAGACATCGTCCACGCGAAACACGAACTTCTCGTTCCAGTTGGGGTTCGCGTGCCCTTTCTCGTCGACCCTCGTCGTCAGCTTCCGATCGGGATGGACCCACGCGACCGCGTACGTCCGCATGGATTTCGAGACGGGGGCCAGATCTTGGGCCGATATGAGATTGAGCTCGAGGAGCCTACCGGTAGAGACAGGAGGGGCCATGATTGTCGCCGCGGCGAGCCGCCGGGTCGTGGCAATGGCGAGGGGGGGAGGAGCTGCGAATTTTGGTTTTTTTGGGTACCATTCACGGGGGAACGTGAACTTAAAAAGGGAAGACGCTGTTTTTTTCCCCACGGAGGGTCGGTTTGTAGGGCGCTTGCGAATTGTCAGGGAGGTTGTTATGGAGGTTGGTTCGTTGATACCTGCGGGGAGGAACCTCATCAAAATTAGACTTGCCATACATAAAAATGCTGACAACCTATCAAAGGAGACGATGCCTCGTCACTCTGACAAACTCCGTTGGGTGAAAATAAATGCTATTTTATCTGGAACCATGCAACAGCTTCTCCACCCTTTATAGGTTACCTACTCTTTTTTCGAAAACAGCCCCAATTTCCATCTCGAGCTTTGTTAGTATAATAATTTTTGGGCCACCATGAGAATAATAACTTATTATGAGCTACAAATTCTTAAATAAGTGAATCTTACAATAATTTATAATTATTTATTATCTATTTTTTTATGATCAAGAACAGACTGTTATTCTCGCTGTAGATTAAAGACTGCCATCCAATTATTTCTCTTTCATCTTTGTCTCCTTCACAAAAGCACCACAGCCTCAAAGCTCCAAAAACACCCCTCAATTCACATATATTTTATCATGGCTGTCAAAAGCACGATCCCGTGCTCGGCGGCCGCTCCCATACTTGCATTCAATGCGTGCACCACCAAGCACCTATTCTTATTCACCGCCGCAAATTCCACATTGTCGATGCCGAACCCAGCGATTCCGACTGCCTTCAACGATGTCGGCGTGGTCGATGACCACCTTCATGTGAATTCCTCATGTTGGAGATTGACAGAGTAGGCGACTGGCCACAGGCCAGGACCGGCAAGGGCGTCGCGGCCCTCGCCGATGGCCGGCGAGGGTCCCCCTCGCTGCCTGGGCAAGGGCAGCTTGCGGTCACAACCGCGAGGCCTCGCCCAGCCAAGGCGAGGCCGACCTCACCGTCGCCACCCAGGTCCGTGCCTGGGTGGCGACGGCGAGGCCAACCTCGCCTTGGCTAGGCGAGGCTCGACCTCGTGCCTGGGTGGCGACGGCGAGGCCGGCCTCGACTTGGCTGGGCGAGGCTCAACCTCACCGTCACGACCGGCCAAGCCGGCGGCGAGGGCCGCGATGCCCTTGCCGACCCTGGCCTGTGGCCGGTCGTCGGCGCCGACCATGGGCAAGGAAGGGAGGGGAAAGAAAAAAGAAAGAAATATCAAAAAATTCAAAATATTATTAAAATATTATTAATAAAAAGAAATTTTGTATAGTTACCAAACGCATTTTTATTTTTTTTTCTATTCTAAGAACATAAATTTTGGGCAGTTACCAAACGCCTTCAAATGCTTAAAAATTATTTTCGGGCACAGAATAAAAAATAATCATTTCTGCCCATAATCTATTTTTGAGCACAGAATGGTTGACATGCGCAGCCTAAGCTGCGAGGGGGGCGAGATTGCATTGCTCGCCATTTTCTCAGTGTGTGAGGGCTATCGTTTCTCTAGCCAAGGAGATCCTCAAATTGTGGGCCCTACAAGACACTTGGCGACGAGCTATTGGAGGGAACTGCAAGTGACGTGGAGGGCCAGGACCGCCCAATATACACAGCCTTGGCAGCCGGCCCCACACATCCACGTGGCTCCATGTGGCTCTTCATGAGTGGTTGGGGACCATGCCGCCATGGAGCAACTGGACGTCCCATATTTTCTCGCGAAATTGGCTCCTCTAAGATTGTCTTTTTTTTTGGTAAAGGGCTCCTCTAAGATTGTCGTGGTGCCTATTCATGGAGAACCGCTTTTCAGCTTCATTTGTCCAATCGGTTGAACCTGTTGGATCATTCCTCGTTTTAGACATGCCAAATTCCCTCAGTGATAGACCTCAGTATCATTGTAGCCACGGTCATTTCTCAAAGCAAATGTTGGTGACACTGTTAAAGAATGGGTGGTAGACTCCGGTACTACTAGGCACATAAGTCTTTAATGAAGATAATGTCAATCTTGGAGACTGTCGACTTATGTGTGTTTTCTGGAAGGGGCAAGGTTTCGCTCAAGTCGACCTTGGCCTTGAATAAGGTGCTGCATGTACAGGACATAAGGGCGAATACAACAAACGAGCAAAGGTGGGATTAAAATGTCATTTAAGTCTGATAAGATTATTGTCAGGAAATCCAATCCAAAAACTTGTGTCAAGCTTTCTTACATGTTATTAGAGCCCTTGTTCTGCCCCTTTTGCGTCTGCGTCCACCCCATTAGTCATATTCCACATGTCACTCCTAATCTCCTTGCACGTGAAAGGGGGTGTTGAAATATTTTACATCGCTTGACAATGGAGTTTATATATGATTTTTATATATGTGTGGTCTCTCTTGTTGGGGTGTGGTTCATACTCCCCAGCAATTAGACAGCATGGATTTCCTAATTAGAGTAGATCTCCTAGAAAGAAGTTTCCTATTTTGAATCAGACGATTATATATATATATTCTCTTTATCTTGTAATTGAGAGATATAACAGAAAAGTGTGACGTGCTCATTATAGTGGAATCCCCTGCTAAACATAACCCTAGTTTAAGGGTGAGCCAAGATAAAACCTTGCATCTCAAATTGTCTTTCTCGCTTTTACTCTTTATTTTCTTTGTGATTGTGAGTCGAATTCTTACATCAAACATATTATTTAGGCTTTCCAGATGGACTTTATAACAAGAAATTTGAACATTTTGAGATCACTCATGTGAACACTCCTTATAATGCTAAACTCCATCTAAAGAAACATAAAAACCATCTCATAACTTGATTATGTGAAAGTTCTTGGAAGTTTGATGGATTTAATGAACTTTTCTCGATATAGCTTATGATGTTTGTAGACAGAGCAAAGTATGCAAGGATTCCAAACCTTATCATTGGAATGCTTTGATTAGGGTAATGCAATATTTGAGAGGTATTAGGAATGTGGTTTTCTTTATAGCGAAATCTCGTTGTATTAATAAGTACAGTGATACTAACTGGATCTTAGATTCATATGCTACAAAACCCACTGGTGATTGCTCATCCACCCCTTGGTGTTTTTGCAATATGTTGGGAATCAAGCAAGCGAACAAATTATGGCCACGAACTCTATTTTTGACACGGGGGTTGTAGCCCTTGACTTCGGTAGCAGCGAGGCTGAATGACCGAGGGATTTCTTATCAGAACTTAATTTCGTTGGACATGAAATCAACGTCGTCTGGGTCTATGCGCTGTGATTGAACATAATATCTTGAAACAGATACTGGAACTTGAAGTTACATTTATCGATTATACGAAGTCAGAAGTGAATTTGGCCGATCCCCTAACTAAATCATTGGGAAAGAAACAAATAATTGAAACATCAAAGGGAAGAGCCTTATGCCAAAAATTAATTGTAATATATATCAATTTCACTTAATCTAAAATAGGTAGAGCAAGCATGAGAAAAGAGGCAATTGTGTTTTGGAAACAAGCTGTAATTGCTATTACACAAGGGGTCATGTAATAGCTGTTACAGTTGTTAAGATCACTAAAAGCAAAAGTCGTAAATGCATGTAATAGTCATTAACGCAATCGAATTTGCTGTAACAAGCTGTGAAATCTAAACTTGGAAAGTCCAAGCGAACGCTACTTGGTCTACTGCAAAAACTTACACCTGGTTTACGGTCTTGCTGTCGCGAATTTTCCACACTTGGGTAAGTGATGATGGGAGATTATGTACGAGGAAGACAAAAACACTCGAGAGAAGTTGTGACGATCAGGTCTGATGAGAGCGGGGAGTGGTTGCCAAGGTCCGAGGGCATAGATAAAGAGCGGCTCCTGGCAAGTTTCTAAAATGGTGAAGGGGACAGGAATGAACCAAACTGTGCACCGAACATGGAAGAATTACATATATAAACTTGAATTATCTTACGAAGGCGCTTTAATGCTTAGTTTTGGAACTCCAAAGTTAGCGTGCTCAAGCGGGAGTACTTTCAAGATAGGTGACTTCTTGAAAAGTTACCCACTTTTAAGTCAAAAAATAAAATCGCGAGGCCCATAATAGATTAGGCCAAAACGGATAATAACTCGAGTGAGTTAAATTTAAGGCGTCACAAATTTTGAGTGAGTGTTTGATTATGTTGATGCAGTGGTTGTCAGGGCTGAGCAGGAGCCGGTCAAGGAGGGCTTTCAACTCCCTGTTTGGAAAAGCCTCACGTCGGTGAAGGAAAGCGAACCGGAGAAAGCTTGAGCCTCGAGAGAAAGAGAGACTATTGCGTGCTGGGGCTCGTCCGTGTAGCGCCACTTTGTGGAGGCATCGGACTGAGACAGACACACGAGAGAGAGACACTGTCGAGCGGTGGGGCTCACGACGGCTGGGCGGTGGAGCTCGATGAGCGGCAATTCGTGAGAATGAGAGAATGGAGAGGGCGGAGTTTGTGAGATAAGAAGGTGCGGACTGTTTGAGGGAAGAAGAGAGGATTAAGACAGAAGGGAGTGTTGTGTTCTCTAGGAATAAGACAATCATAGCTACTTATAGCTTTTTTATGTACGAATCGGACCGGTTCGGGCATCGGATCATTTTAAGCCAAGCCGGCCTGTCGTACTAGACCCCGAAAGAATCAAACCGGTCCAAACGGGCCTCTCTGGATTCTAAGATTCACGGGTTTTTTACACAACCCCAGTAGTAATGTAAAGTTATTAGACAAGTATGAAGTGGGTGGTTACTTGATGAAATGATTATAGCGATTAGTAATTAGTAAGAATAATCTATATATATTAAGATAAAAGGGGTGTAAAAAGTAAATTGGTGGTGTGGCTTCTTGAAAATTTCTCAATTCCACATTACCTCATCCGAATAGCTATTATTTTTAGGAAAACATTAAAAAAAGATTTTGTTAACAAGTACCTTACGGGGACTTGTTAAACACATTTTAAAGAATTATTGCATTTTTCAATCCATTCATTTGCTCGTGCTATGTGTAATCAATACGTTGAAATTAAAAACACTTATCTGTTAAATGTACTTAACTAGTGACTCAAAGGCATTCGCTATAAAATGATTGAAAAATATCTTTTATATATTAAGCCAAAAGTGGGATTGGTCCCACTTGTTGGACATTCCAATATTAACTTTGGTACTCACTAAACCATTCCATAAAGTAATCGACAATTTCATATATCTGTAACAACTACCCACTATTATTATATTCATGTTAGTAAATAATTGCCCAATTGCTCTCAAAATCACGCGGACAGCATGTGCCTCAACACTAATTAAATAAAGTGAATTTAAATAGTGATGAAGTGATAAGGCATTTTGAGGATCTTTATCAATCTGTTTGATTTTCTTTTTCCGTAATTTCACACTTTAGTATTACATTCTTAGTTTCGAATGTGCTATTAAATATGTTGCTATTTATTGAAAGAATGTTTACATAGGCTGGCGCTATTTTTACCTCTTAAATGACTAAAACCACGCCCATTTACACTAAAAGGATAAAACTACAATCAATCTTTAAATTACAATTCAAAGTGATAGCCTCACTCCTTCTTTTTTATATTTTTTTTCTTTTTCTATTTAGGATCTAGTTACCATAATTGAGCTTTTCATATGCTTTGTTTTTTAGTGTATTAAAGAAAAAGTGCATTTTCAGATATTCCTATAAACATTTTACATGCTTCGTATAAAATTATATAGCCAATAGTAAGGAAAAAAGACATTTTTTCATATAGTAATATATTGAAAAGTATATTGTTCATGATTGATCTTATAACAACTTATCTATCATATGTCCATCTTATCTCCAAAGCACCCTTTCTTGGTGAACTTTTCGTTTTTTAATTTCATTAGTTTAAAATATATATCAAGTCTCTTTATTTACCATATTAACGAATTTATCTTTTTTCCTTACTAAATAGGCGAGATACTTTTACACAAAGCATGTATGGCATCAAAGGAATATCTATGAACGCACGAAAAACATTATGCATACTGAGGCATCTTGATATTTTTTTCGTAAAGAGTTCATAGATGATATTAAATTGTCAATCCAAATAATGATATTTCACTGGCATTTTAAAAAAAAATTCTTATTTTATGCAATGTTTTGATTTAATTAAATTTTATCTTCTAAAGTTTCACGTTGGAAGTGATTTCATTCTGAAAAATTTTAAAGAGTATTTTTTTTTTGCTTCATGTGATCATCCCATTATTTGTGTATGTATGTAAAAGAAAATCAACGAGAAGGGGTTTGATGGTGATATACACAACAAAAGTGAAAATTTATAAATAAGTCAATGTGTTAAAAAGTTTTCTATTTCAAATTTGTTCAAAACCCTACTTGACAATTTATCCATAAATTTGCTCGACAACATAGAAAAGAAATAGATTTCTTGCAAACTTCTCCTTTTGATGAAACGGACTTTTATGGAAGTAATATATGACAATAGAAAAAAAAAACACAATGCCTTTAATATTCATGGGAAATCTATGAGAAACAATAACTAAACATGTGAAATTCTTAATTATGGTAAGCAGATCCTACATAGATATGGAAAAACCAAAAAAATAAGTAAAGTAAATAAACCTGGGAACATAAATTTGCAAAAAACTAGATTGCTTGGAAATTTCTCTTTTCGACGAAACGAACATTTATGGAAGTAATATTTAACAATAGAAAAAAGGAAAACATAGTGCTTTTAATATACATGCGAAATCTACAATAAACAAAAATTAAACATGTAAAATTCTTAACTATGGTAAGTAAATCTTACATAGATATCTAAAAACTAAAAAATAAGGAAATTAATTTGGGACCACAACTTTAAATTGCAATTGAATAATCGAAGATAATTTTGTATTTTTGGTGAAAGCCGGGTGGATTTAGTCATACAGGAGGTGGAAATAGCGTCACCCTATAAATATTATACAAACTTGAAAGGTTATTTTACCTCTCGATTAGGATTTCATAAGCTCTTGATTACTTTCATCCACCGCTCTTTGATTAATATGTTTATACTATTACCATTCATATCCAACACAAATTACAATGAAATGTTTATAATTAAGATGGAATGAGGAGTATGAATTGCATTTCGTTGATCTGGTCTTCTTAGAATCGTGGGTCGATTTTTCTGTTTTTAAATGGAAAAATGAGAATGTACAGCATTATCGTAGCATGACTTTTAGAGTTATGGGTTGAAATTTTTCTTTTTTATCTTTTCACTTCAATTTTTCTTTGGTCGAATTTCATTTCAAGTTGAAAAGTATGCAATCAGTGTTTTTTTCTTTTCTCTCATGATGATATTTCAACCAAATAATGAAGAACGACCAATTAACAAGGTAAGAGATGAATGATGCAGTGGGAAGCCCGCCACATAAGAATTTTAGCTTAGTGTAAGTTGCATAACTAACATCTTTTTGCCATTTTAATTGTCATTCAAGCTCTTTCCAATTTTTGCAAAATAAGAAAGCCACATCATGCAAAACCCCTAATATTTTAATATATTGCCCCTTACCTATAGTCAAGCACTCATGATGCTTTGTCACGACCTTGACACCAAATTCCTTTCATCTTTCTACGATGATATCCCTCTTTTCATATTTACAGCTCGGCTCCGAATATTACAAATACAATACGATAATACAACCAAATCGTGAGTCATTCCATTTTCGTGCCTTGCTCTTACCATCCCTAATACAATAAGGTTTTCAAGGAACGAACGACGGCGTAAGCAATGAGAAAAACGAAGCCGGTACCTTTTCCGGGAAATTGCTCTTCGCGTGGGAACAAAAGAGAGAGAGGGAGGGAGAAGAGGAGAAAAAAAAAAATTGTGAAAAAAAAAGACACGGACACGGTGACGCACCGCGTGCCTCGCGATCGAGACGAGGCTCTGGTCATTGGGGATTTCACGAGAAGGTGGCATAAGATGCATCATCGGCCAAAAACGAAAAGACCAAAAAAGAAAAGAAAGAATAATAGAAAAAAAAAAGAAATAATTAATAAAAAAATATTAAAAAAAAGGGAAGGGAGGAGGTAAAAAAAAATGGGGCACGGCGGCGACCTCAAGGGAGGGCGAAAGGGCGCGGAAAACCAAAAGGAAGTTCGCTGCTCTGCTCAAAGTGGACTTCCCTTCCTTTCCACCCCCGATGCTCCCGTGGGCCCCACCGGTCTCAATATTCCCCTGCTTCGCGCCCCCACGCGGTCGGCTGCTCCTCCGTCGCCGGCCGTCCGATCGCGAGATCGCGAGGCCGGGGGCCCCGACCGCATCGGCGGACACGAACGGGGGCGGAGGAGCCAGCGCGAGAGGGATCCCCCGCACGTGCGGCGCCCGGGTGGGGCACGCGGACACGTAAGAGAGAGAGAGAGAGGGAGGGAGGGACAAGTAAAAGCCAATCATCATCATCGTCATCATCATCCCGTTCCCTCCCTTGTAATCAGAGAGAGAGAGAGAGAGGAAGACCCCAAAAAAAGAAAAGGAAAAAAAAAAAGGGGAACGCAGAGAGAATTTCGAAGTCAAGACGGCGAAAAGGAGGCAAATTTCTTCGTTCCCCTCGCGCGCTCGCTCGCTCGCTCGCCGGATTGCAGTAGCTCTTCGTCCCCGCCCCCCTTCGGCCGGCCGATCCTGACGTAAGGATTCCGTTTCCGTTTTCGCTTTCGTTTCCCGAGCCGACGGTTGTGTGTTTGGGGGGGACTTTTGGGGTTTCTTTCCGCCTTCCCCGAGTCCTTTGGTGCGTGCCGTCCGCGTGGCGAGGTGGGGGGGTTCGGCGGTCCTGCCCTTCTTCTCCGGTGTATTTTCTCTTTGGGGGTTTTTCCCTGTCGTGGGTAGTCGTTGCTTTTGGGAATTTCTGGCTCTGAGGTTCGGATTCTCTGTTTTTCCTCTTTCGGGCTGTCTGATCGTGTGCGCGCGCGCGCGTGCGGGGTTCGCGTTTTTCTTATCGGACCGAAACTTTTGGCTTTTGATGGGTTTTTCGTTTCGTTTCGATTCCGGCTTATCGGTCGGGCGCGACGAGAGGGGCCGAGGATGAATTCCCGCGGCGGGAGCTGGTCTCGAGCCGGTCCTGGGCGGCGAGGCTTCTGATTCGATGGTGCTTGTGGTTCTGATTTGTTCGAGCGGAAAGAAGTGTGGTTTTTCCGATGGTGAATTGGTGGAATTATGATCCGGGTATTGGGTAGGTTGGCGCCGGTGAATTTTGTAGAGGATGGTGTTATGTGGAACTGGGATTGGTGTTTCTCTGTTTCTAGCTTGTTTGGGAGGAGGCCACGTGTTTGATGGTGGTCCGGCGAAATTTGCCTCTCTTATTTAAGAAGATGTCCAGTGTGAGAAGTATGTGGGGCTTTGGGACATGATCGTGCTTGCTTTGGTCATTGCAGCTCTAACACGACGATACGATGGTATAGGATTGTGTCCTTTATTGGGATTGTGGGGTGCTAACCTCGGCAATTGGAAAATGATCTGATTTTTTTATGGGTTATGGATTAGGCTTCTATTGCCATGACGGTTATGATTTCCTTTTCTTTACTCTTTTTGAGTTTTTTTAGTGGCGCTGTGAGTTTCTTTTACGCGAATAGTGCGTGCTATGCGTTAAAAGAATGATGCTAGGTTGGTTTTTGCGTATCCCTGTTTCTATTTGGTTAACTGGAGGCTATTTGTTTGATAATAGTTGGAAACCTTTTGGGACTTTCATCTACAATGTGAGAAATTTCGGGCTTTTCGAGACACGGTGTTGCTTACCTTGGTCATTGCGACTCTTACATGGCAATATCGACAGAACTTGATTGAGTTCTGTTGTAAATTTCAGTCTATTTTGGGTGTCTCTTTTAATTTCTTTTTTACTATCTCTTCAGAAATTTTTTACCGGTATATATGCTGTTTTTCCTTGAAATTTTCGGTGTTCTATGGATTTTGACTTGGATGTCTCTTGAAATGTGCTCTAATTTAGTCACATGGTTCTGTAGACACCGTCTTATCTTCTAGCATACTAGCAATGTGCTCAAACGGGTATTCTTGATAAATATTTTGTGAGGGTTTATATGGGAGATACCATTTAATCAATGACAGAGCCTGCGACTTGGATTAAGAGTCTAAACATGGCGGTGAATGATAGTCTTTCTGTTATTATGGACATGCAAATTGGTTACGTAGGATTCAAGTGCTGAACATTTGAGTGATCTTTCATTTGCAGAAAAAGTGCTCTCTCTTGAACCCTTGTCAAAGGTGATCCTCAACATTAAATTGAATGTTTAGTTTGTACTGTTTCTGGAAGGGAGTTGATGTTTTAATCCCGTTTCTGCAGGCGACGCAAATGTTGTTTAAAAACGGGACCGTTGGAAGTGGCCTTTCGTCCACTTCTGGATATACGAGCGATGTCTGCTTTTCTTCCCCTCATTCTGACTTACAACATGATAGACGTTCACAATGTTCTCCATTCATTTCTCCAGCATCCATGATTAGAACGTCCACACCACCCCTAGGTTTTCCCCATACAGAAGTACAACCTACTGCATTGACTGATATTCCAAAAGAAAGCAAAGATGGTCCCTGGGATGCAAATCAGCTTCAGGATTTTCTTATCTATTCAGAAAACATCCCGAGCCATAATTGTCAGGTAGAGAGCAGTGGGGGTGTCATGGGATGCGAGGACCAATCTACAAGAAGTGATTGGCAGTGGGCTGAACAGTTAATTTCTGTTGATGAGGCACTGGATCCAGATTGGAGCAAAATTCTTGCTGATGTTGATGCGACTGACACATCAAAGGTGCGTTTATCTTTTAACTTGTAATGGGGTTTGACTTTTGTCCAGCACAGAAGGCTGAACTTGTTCGCTAGTCTGTCATTTGCATGTAAGGTAAATCCTATAGGAGAATGTGCCCTGAATGTTTGGCGCTACATGAGATACTTGTTCTTTTCTTTTCGGGGGGTGGCGGGTTGCAAAGGGGGGCAGGGAGGGCGGTCTTAGGTTATTGCTTCTGGTCCAAATTGTTAATTTTAAGGAAAAGCTCATCAAAAGTCACCTTGTGGTCCTTGCTCCTACCCACCAGCGCTTGGGCTTATATTTTTGTCTTTTGAGTTTAGCTAAATGTGGAAAATATTAATTGTTTAATGAAAAAAGAATTATTTGATGTTTCATTTTTAGTGAAAACAGAAGACTAGTCGGGAGACATGCTTTGTAGCTTCATTGTTTTTGAATATTGTGCATTCTGAAAACTTTTATATAGAAAAACAACATAGCGGCACTCTCATTTGTTTTCCAATTAGAATAAGAAAAAACTGAAATTTTTGAAACATTTTCATTTGTAATGATTTCAAATGGTAATTAAATATTCAAAGAAAAAAAAATTACGATGGCAATCAGAAACGACATGGTAAGTAAGTGTTACGACAAGGTGCAAGTTTGAAAACAAGAACAGATTCTGTAATTTTTATGCGAAAAACTGAGAATGTTTTTTTTTTTTCAAAATTAAGCTTACTCTTAAGAGTGTGAAATGCAGAATTTTTGGCGTACTTTCTTTTTTCTAGTTTTTGTTTTTCACGTGTAGCCAAAAATGATAAAGCTGACCCATTGTGTTGGGTACAGCTTACTTGTAGTAGTCATATAGCCAACAGATACTAGTTTAAAGGAGTTACAGCTTCTAAAAACTAAACTAAAAAACGAAGCTATTGCTAAAACTAAAATCAAAAGCCTCAAGTAAGTGGAGAAAGCCGGGCCAAAAGTTTAAACCACCCAAATTGGCTAAAATAGTGAGCTAAACTATAATTACTTTGTTTCTTAAAATGTTACGTTAAGTCTCCATTGATTCCAGTTTGCTGGATATCATCTTGCATTCTTTACGTTTGAATAAGTTATCAATTGCTTCAATCGTTACATCACCTGTCCTTGTTTGATGTGAGCAGACTTTCGCACTGAATTCTGTACCACACAGAAACATTTCTGAAGCCAATAATATCATTTACGTAGCATTTAGTTTGATCTGTCAGGAAAATTTTGTGGCCATTGTTTGTGGGTTGCAATAAGTGTATAAGTAAGCGTAAATAACCAATTTCTGGTGATGGTTTTATTATTGGAATACTGTTTATCTAATTTTTATTAATTTTTTCTCAAATTAAGCTGGCATGCCATACTCAGATGACAGTTTTCTGTTATGCTGTTGCAGCTGCCCCTGGTTGTTCACAGTCAGTCTTTACCTCCTGGAGAATCTTCTGCTGCTGCTAATCAATTATCAAGTGCATCCTCAAGCAAGGCTCGAATGCGTTGGACACCGGAGCTTCATGAAGCTTTTGTGGAGGCTGTTAATCAGCTTGGCGGTGGTGATCGTGCGTATCTTTTGATTTGACTGTGGATTTTGGATGTGTATAGGATGACCAGTTTATTTGATTTTTTTCACTTTTGACATTAATTTCAGGTGCCACTCCCAAAGGTGTCTTAAAGCTGATGAATGTAGAAGGCCTAACAATCTATCATGTGAAAAGCCACTTACAGGTATGTTTTGCTATTTTGTTCTTCTTATCCCAGGCGTGAGATTGTCTTTTCTAGTTTCTATTCCAAACTTACGTGGAAGCCCTTTTAATGCAGAAATATAGAACGGCTCGATATAAACCGGATTCGGCAGAGAGTGAAGGTGATTTTCTTTTGTTAATGATCCTTGCTTGTTGGTTCCTCTCACTACACTCTGCATATATAAATTTCCTTTCAGCAGGCACTTATATATAGTGGAATCTTGCCTTCCATTTTCAGTCTTTCCTGTCCTTTGGGCTGTAAAATGACTGGTCATTCCTCTGTTTCCAGGATCTTCAGAGAAGAAGTTGAGTACACTGGAAGAAATGAAATCTCTAGACTTGAAGACGTGAGTCATTTTCTTGGCTCTATTAATTTATGTACTTTGATTCGCTGATGGGTATTTCTTTTCATGTTGTAGGATTCATTCTTTTCACTTGATTTAGATTGTATTGATGCTGTTTTGACTTGTCCCTGAAGATGAAGTTTATCATGTTTCATGTGTCTTTATCATTTAACGCTGACCCAAATCTTCTTCGGTTTCACCACATAAAATTTAGTTGTCGATTTTCTTATGAAGTTCTTCTCATCTTTGAGTACCTGATTGGAAGTAATGTTTTAAGAAACTGATGCTTCAATCAAAATACCCTTAAACCTCCATGACAGGAGTATGAACATCACTGAAGCGCTGCGAATGCAGATGGAAGTTCAGAAGCAACTCCACGAACAACTCGAGGTTAGCTTTTGACATTCGAGAAAATGGTCTGTTCAAGTGAAGGGAAGCATGTTGCTGGCCTGCAGATATAGAATATTACTTTATGCTACTATGAGAATTTTTCTCTACTTCTGCATATTGTGCATAAGATTCTCAACCGTTTTTGCTGAAACATCTAACTAAAAGCTAAAAGAAAAATGCTTCATGTTTATTAAGAGCAGCTGTGCTTGATAAGCACTTAGAGATCCTAGTTGAGTTCTTACTTACATAAATTCTTACTTACATAAAAGTATTTCACTTGCCTAATTCAGGCCATAAGACCTATCACTTTGTGTTTTTGGAGTACTGTCTTTAAAGAGTGCCTGTCTTCCCCTGAAGACAAGGATCTCGTGTAGTGCTTAAATGCCAAAATATTGAGAATTTTCCCCTAACCTCTCTACATAGAACACAATGTAAAATTTTAGTCCAGAAGCATCTGTTACCGAGTCACTTTTGCTTTATCAGTTATCAATTCATTTATGCTTTATCGGTTTTTTAATTCATGCAGATTCAGAGAAAGCTGCAATTGAGGATTGAAGAACAAGGAAGATACTTACAAATGTTGTTTGAGAAACAAAGGAAGATGGATGATGATGGGTCCAAAGCTACTTCGTCCCCCATTCCCGATGAATGTGATCCATCAAGGAACATAACAGAAGCAACCGAGCAACACCAGGCTAAAAAAGGACTTGAGACGACAAACCCCAGCTCTTCGCCTGGCGAAAGTTCTCAAAACGCGAATAAAAAGCAGAAGGTTTCTGAAGTAAGAACTCCTGATGATGACGATCCGGATGAGGGCGAGATAGATCTTCCATCCGTGAAACGAGTGAGGGGCCATGAAACCTCGCTGTGATTAACCTGGAGCAGCATCCTTTCAAGCTCTTGAAGAATGGAGAAAGAGAAGGATATTAAAGAAGAAAAAAGATCTCCTACTGCCTCTGAAGATGACATAGTGAAGTTGTTTTATAAAAGATCACATGACAAGGACTTCTTTGACTGAAACTAGGAGATTTTGGAACTCCGGTCCTCTAATTTATCTATGGATTCGTATTAGATGGATTTAGTTTCTAAGTCGATAAAGCCTCCGACTTTATCCGAACTATCCAACTTGGGAAATAAATTTGCATTGATAACTGTAGATAGAAGGTTTAGCAGCAAAAAAAGAGGGCAGAAAGAAATGATGCTCGAACTCACTAGGAACGAAGCTTTTACTAAGCTGCTGGTGATTTCTGTCTTTCTAATTTGTGTAAAAAAGGGTTTGTACCGACTTGTTTAATCTTGGGGGAAATCTTTGTGCCAATTCCTTGCGGGCATCATTGGCTTGGCATGTAGATGAATCTGTGTGACATCGCCTCGGCTCAGGATCTACTTCGCGTAGAAGGACTGTACTTTCAGGTTATCTTTCTCTTCGAGATCAGCTCGATTCACTATCTCGGGAAATCGATTTTGAGTTAAAAAGCTAAACCGTGCCGAGGGATTAAGCCCCGACAAGTGGAGTGGCGTGGTGGCAACAGTTCACCTCTCATGAGAGGAGTAGGATTCGACTTCTCAAAATTGGGACCAGAGGCTTGATGGTTCCGTGATCTTGTAACTTTAGAAAGGTAGATCGCGAAAAACTTGAATCCCTGCACGTACAGGGACAAGTATCGAGTTTTGAACGAGGACCTTTCTACAATTAGGTGATATTCAGATGGTGAACGGTTCGGTTTCGCAGCGGCTCTCGACCCAATCTCACTTTGCGGGCAAGAATCGCAAGATGACCCGTAACCCATGCGGGGTCGCCGACTAGACTCGCGCGAAGTGTGCCGACAAATCGAAAAGGGTGGGAAAATTTCGGGTTAATCTCCTAAGCTTTGGGAGGAATAGCTTAGCCGTCTTAACAGAACTTGCACTTTCATTGCTCTTTATAAAAGGCTTTGTGCAAACCAAAGGGGTAAACTTTAGGTGGGAATTTCATTTGGGAAGTTTGAGGTTCCAAAGGCTTCTTCACCCACAAAGGTTAAAGACAAAGTGGGATTTCCTTTTCCCAAGGAAACATCTGCCGCTCGTGTACTTCTTGGCTTCGTGAAGATGGTCGGTGAAGATCGGTGCTTCTGCTGGGAAGAGCGTTGGAAAGTTCGTAGCTTTTAGGGTGAGATGAGGGGGACAAGAAGAGCTCGAAGAAGATCATTTGCTTCGTTATCTCTCAGCTCTACTCTGCCGTGAAAGAGAGCTGTACATAATTTGCAAGCCGACGGCGGAGGAACCCTCGAATCAAAGCACACGAAGAAGAAGAAGAACAAGAACAAGAAGGAGAGATGCTGTTCCAGGTGGGTGGGCAGGGGACGCGTCCCACCTTCTTCGAGATGGCGGCTGCCCAGCAACTCCCGGCCAGCCTCCGCGCCGCTCTCACCTACTCCATCGGCGTACTCTCTCTCTCTCTCTCTCTCTCATACGATTGCGAGTGCGTTTCTCTCTGGCCATATCGAATTTGTCGTTGTGCTGACGGACCCAGCTTTAAGTTTTCGCCTAGAATCGCGAGTTCAAGACATGGTGATGAACTCTTGAGCCATCTCGTTCGCTCTTGGTTTGTAGAATTTTCAATGGCGAAGGGCGGCCATGAGATTGTCCCGTGGTTTTCTTGCTCTTTCGTTTACGTGGTTTGAGTGTTATTTAGGTATGAGCCCAGCTTCAAGATTACGTCTCTGGTTTTACCCGCTTCGCTGAATTCGGTTCTTGGCCTGTTGTTGCCTGCTCGAGCATACCTGTTAAATGTACCTGATTGAATTATCGGAATTGGTCGGAGTTGTTGGGGTTTGTGCTTAGTGGACGATTGCATTAGTTCGATCGACTTGCGAGAGGATGGGCTTTACTGCGGCACTATGTCTTTCCTTTTTTCTTAGATTTTATTTTCTTCCTTTTTATGGAAGTAGTGGGATTCATGAATGAATTGCAGGTACTTGCCTTAAGAAGACCTTTCCTTCACAAAGTGTTGGACTATGAAGATGAGTTCTTTGCACTGCTGATGCTGGTTCTCGAAAGTCATAGCTTGCGAACTACAGGTGACTCTACGAACAAATATATTATGTTAGCGAATTCTCTCTCTCTCTCTCTCTCTCCCCCCCCGCCCGCCCCTCCTTTTTTGGCTAGATTGAGCATTCAGGACTCGTAGAGTGTTAAACTAGTCCTTTGGCACTATTAGTCCCTTTGTCATGGAAATAGCATTGAATTTGGTGGGCTACTGTCTGTCTCTAATGGTAGTCCCATCCATGTGTGTTAATTCCTCAAGGATATATTTGAACCTTAGAATTTTGGCTTGTTGAAGCAAAAGTGAGAGTCGACTTTTTGCTTTAGGCTAACCTCATCAAGTCATGTGAAGGGTTATCTTTCCTCTGTACATGATAAGTTCTTACTCTTCATTTTTCACCTGTCATGTTTCCTGAATAATTGAAATCTGGAGACATGCCATTTTAATACTCTGGTCAACTGAGAATTCTGTGGGATGTGAATGTCGAAAAGCTTGTTTAGACACTGAAAGAAAGTATGAGATGGACAAATATGTGTAAAAATTGAAGTGCATTCCTGCAAAAGAAAAGGTTTGGACTTAATAGTTAGACATTTTGTGAAGTGCCCTTTAAGTTTGATTAATCAATTTTTCATCATGGAAGTAGCCTTATTCTTTATGTTTTATTCTTCTTCAGATGCTTCATTTTCCGAATCTTTATACGGGCTACGAAGGAGAGCAGTGAAGATAAAAGCACAGAAGGATGATGCTCTTTTGAACTCAGGAGATAGATTGCATCATTCTGGGTTAGAAAAGCGCCAGAAAGTCCTATCTGTTGCATTTCTGGTACAATCTTTTGCTTCTTTCATCCAGCTTATGCATAGCCACTGAATGCTGTTGAATTTTCTTGGATATATCTGATCAAATGTATCCATCTAGATAATTTAACTCTCAGAATAAGCTTCACTGCCTTTCTCTGTGGCTTCTGTTGGCAGCATAATTACACTATGGTCAACATGTTCGTGATATGTAACCTTATTTTTCCTATTGAGGCTCGGTTATCTTTCTCTCTATAATCGTGGTGAATGGAGTAAAGATAAGTAGCAGGATATCTCATTCAACTATAAAAAAAAATTGATATTACACTTGAATTAGATTGTAGCTTATATTCAAGAAGGATAACTACTTTTCCTCTTCTAAATTCCAGTTTTACTTACCAGTCCCCTTGCTAAACGAAGTCAGTGTTTTCTGTTTAGACCTGTATGATCATGTTCTGCAGTAACGATACAGCTTTCTACTGAAAAACACTGGAAATGGGCATTGTTATTTAGACATGGGCCGTGATGTATAAAATTATCGAGGTTTTTCTTTCCATCCTTTGCTTTATTATCGGGTTTTGACATGGAAGAATACATTTATGATTAGGTGGTCTTGCCATACTTTAAATCAAAATTGCATTCCATATACAACAAAGAAAGGGAAGCCAGACTTCAAGCAAGTTTATGGGGTCATGGAGAAGATAGTTTGGATAATTTGGACTACATCACTGGAGGAGAGGATGTCGTCGTCTCAACAGGAACTTCGAATGCAGATCGATCAATCAGAATACACTTGATGAAGAGGATTCAGAAAATAGTAGGTGCTTGCTACCCATGGATACACGCTAGCTGTGAAGGTACATCACCCCGAGTTACATTATGCCTAACATCTTAAAAGTGTCGTTCTCCTTGGCACAGGTTGTTGGGCTGAAAGAATTAGTAAACTATGCCTATATTTGTTCCCAATTTCACAATTCATTAAACAATTACTTTTTAAAGATAACAGGGGCGTTCAGTGATAATTAACCTTATTCATAGAAACCAAGAAAACATTGTTTTTTTCTACTGCACACTAGTTTCCTTTAGTAATTAAAATATTGTGGACTAAATTTGGCTTGAAATTCTCAAATTGAAGCTACCTTCTGACTATGCAGGATTGTCGTTCGCCTATCAAATGTTGTATCTATTGGATGCCACTGGCTTCTATTCTCATGGCTTGCATGCACTTAATATTCAAGTTTGTCGAGCTACTGGGCAAGAGCTGGTTAGGTTCTCTTCAGAGAATTTTTAATGTCAAATTATTGTTTCACATGTTATTAAATCTGCTAGTATTTTTCTTCTTAATTTGGGAAAGCTGAAAGGAAAGAGGGCCAGTAAATGAAAAATTAGTTTGAAATGCAGTAGATCGTGTGGCTTGAGTTACTTTCTTTTTTCATCATTTTACCAACCTCTCTGGTTTCTGTTGCTTAGTGAAAATACAGAAATTTTTTTTTATCTTCCCATGTTTCCTAGCATAAGGTTCCCAAGTTTTATCTCAGTTATGTGCTTCTCTCTTGCCCAAGGCATATAAATTGATCTCATTTTTTAATTGTATAATTGGTGTTGGTGTGAAGATGGAATGAATCTGTATAAGAACAGCCGTTGTACTTGCTTATAAACTTCGTTGGGCATTTGAAGGTACCATTTGACTTGGTGCTTGCCATAACTTGCTAAGCAGGACTGTCTTTTTAATTCAATGTGGTGCTGGAATGAGTAGCATGAATGAAGATAAATATTCTGACTTTTAATTTTAGCAGTGCTGAATATGCTTTGAAGACCTGTGGTAGGCCTTTTGTACTAATTGCTATTGGTCAAGCTCATACTGAAGCTCAAAAGGAATACGTAATAGCCAAATCTTTTTTGACCCTGCTGCAGAATCAGTATAGTATATGTCTAAGCCGTGCATGTCTTATTGAATAGTCCTTTCTCCTTTGCTAGATTTTACTTTTGGAAGGTATCAATTTACCCTTTCTGATGCTGATCTAGATGGATACTTCATCAAGAATTTCGAAGATACGAAATCAAGAACGCGAGAGACTTCGTGGTCCTCCGTGGTTGAAGGTATAGATCTGTCTTGGTAGATGTTGCTTAATGTATACTCTCTCTCAAAGGATCGAGCTTTGCATGTTCATGTGGAAGCGCTGGTAATCCAAAAGTGGTTGGCTATCTCCTCTTCTTTTTAAAGATTTGATAACACAGACACTAAGTATCCCACTGATCTCAAAGTTTTTTTTTTGGTCTGATTTGATCACTCAGTTAAATGAGCCGAAATATATGCCAGGAAGTACTTTTTGCTCATGTGAAATGTACTTTAAATGTTGTAGTAATTCGAGTTGTAACTCACTTATATTTTATTTCTCCAAACAGGCAGTGCAAGGTGCCTTGCTCTCCTGTACGTATACGGTGCTTGACTATGCACAGACTGGATTAATTGCGGCTGTCTTCTTCTTTAAGGTGAGTCCCACTTTTCCTACTTATTTTGTTTATGAATTTACTGCAAACAGTTGCATTGGCAAAGTATAAGTTACTAGTTTCGTTTTGTGATATCTGCATCTGAGGTGGTTATTGAATTGTTTGTTGTAATCCTGTAGCCAAATTTTGTGTATTTCTTCTAGAAGTGAATAAATCTATATGATGCAACGTCAATAAATAAATAAATCTATATGATGATAGTGTGGAACTTTGCTGATGTTTGAAATTTAGTAGATGATGGAGTGGTGGTACCAATCTGCTGAGGAGAGAATGTCAGCTCCAACTGTGTACCCTCCACCACCACCACCTCCACCTCCAAAGGTGACAACTCTCTTTCTCTCTCTTCCGTGCCTCTGACACAAACACAAGTGATTGCTTGCTTTAAATGACTAGAGGATTTCTGTTATCAAGTATCATAACTGAAACAGAGTTGCATAAAGGCAATTTCGCATTTCTGGCTAAACTAGTGACAAGAATCTAGCTCTGGGACACCTCTTTCATCCCTCAACGACAATTCTCAATTTTTTGTCATGCATGGCTGTGTTATAATAGCAGAGAAGTTTTCAAAGAGGCCATATGATTCAAGAATCACGCATCATTTGAGCAGGTTGCAAAAGAAGGGATTCCACTGCCACCAGACAAAACATTATGCCCTTTGTGCTCCCAGAAGCGTGCAAATCCATCTGCAGTTACTGTCTCAGGGTTTGTCTTCTGCTATGCATGCATTTTCAAGTATGTTTCACAGGTGAGCTACTTTCATCCTAGCAATAATCATTAAATGCAGACTTTGGTGAAATATTTTAGGGAGCACATGGTGTATGCATAGAGGACGTGGTGTGAGCAATTAGCTTTAAGAGGTGTTGAACTGATCCAAAATTATTGTTGAGACTTATGTTGGTTTAGGTTGTTCTCTAGCTAATACGACAATCTTGATGTTATTTAAGATTTCAAATTTGTGCTAGTACAACTTCAGTGAAATCAACTCAGCATCTTGAGCATTATGCTGTACATTCTGCCAACTATGGCATCTTTCCCGATTATTAGTACTTTGCAGTTGTTATGCGCATCAAAAGTTGTTTCTTTTTCACGGGTAAAATCACTTTCAGAGTTGGCTGTGCACTCTGCTTCATTATTAATCAGACATACTTAGTGTTGTTTTACTACTGCATGATAACTTATCTTTCTACTTTTCTGTTTTTTTTTGGTAAGGTACTTTTCTGTTTTTGTCTTTTCTATTTGCTAAATAGATAATACTTTATTTTCTTTGCCATTCTATTAACTTCTTGAGACTCTTCAAGTGATTATTATTGCAAAACCTGCATTCTTTTATAAAGCTAAGAGCGGGGATTCTTTTGCCCTTTCCTTTGTTGGATAAAATAGGGTGGAAAAGATAGTATCTGTTCCTTTTCTAACATGTTTTCAGAGAAAGGACATCAGTACCAACTTCTTAACTTAAGCAGCTCATATAATTAAGTATATAGCTGATTAGGGACTAAGAATGTCTCCTTTTCTATTCTGCACCAGAGATTATACTTATTTATCCATTGATGGTTTTTTTACAATGCCACAGTATAAGCGCTGTCCAGTCACATTGATGCCTGCAACAGTTGACCACATAAGGCGGCTCTTCCATGACATGTAGGATACTCATGCTCTGGAGATGATCATTTTTCTGAACATGGCCAGAAACCATGGTCGAATGAAAGAAACAATATGCTGCCATTGAACCAAAGACCGCCATTGTGGTGTTTGGAGCAAAGGTGTGGTCTGACTGTGTTTGATTACCTGATCTCTGTCAGCCCATGAGCTGTGACTGAGATATATGTCAAGCTTTCTTTCACATCTCGTGACTTCATTACATACCCACACCATGGTGAGTACGAGCGTAAGTATCTTTCGGCATTACTCAAGCCCAGTCACTTGCCTCACATGTTCTTTCCTTGGCTAAAATAGAAAAAGTGATGCGACCATAGTTTGTACACATCTTTGAGTTTGTCTCATGTCTTAGACGATATCAACATTGTTCATTTTTAGATTAATAAAGGCATCAATGCTCGAGGGCTTGTCCTGTGAAAACACATTCTTTTTATTAACCATGAAGATGAAAATGACGCACTCTCCTTCACTCTTTTGGACTGCCTATGAAGTCATCACTTTCAAGATATGTTGTTCTATTTTTCTGAACTTCTGTATTGCACATCACTATCCAGGCTGAGTTGTGAGTTGGCTTATAGAATTGGGACATCCTAGTGGAACTACGGAAGTTTCTCTCTGGGTCTCTGGGCTTTTCAATGAAATTGTTCGTCTACACCTCGGTAGGCTGAGTAATTGAGTCGATGTTGAATTGTTAGAAAGAAGCCGAAAGGGGATTCAGAAGGAGAAATCAGGTTGTTAAAGGCGAACTCAGAAAAGGGAATGATGCCGCTCGCTAGAATGTCCAAACATTGCTGAATTTGACTTTTGTTTCGATCTCGAGTTCACTCCATATGGTTCATGTTCATGTTCCTGATCCAGCTCCAGCTCTCAGTTCAGTTTTCGTACTTCGATCTTATAATTAGGTGCTCTCTTCGTTTCGGTTTCTGGTAGATTCAATCCTTCACCAGCGGGTTTTAGATTCCGCATCCTAATTTCGTCTTTTCCCCATAATCCCTCAAATATGATCACACTTCGGTCAAATCCTGATTGAGGGATGGATTTCTTCGTCTCTCCTTCATCTGAATCGGATCGGCTGCGAGACATTTCAAACCGAAGATAATTCAAGACCGGGTGGAGCCATCATGGAGTCGATGTTTTATACAGTGAATGTCCCACGAAATTATTGTAGTGAAAATGATGAGAGAGTAGTTACACTGGGATCTGTTTTGGTGCCCCATCTCAATATAAACTTCCAATTGACGAGGGACCCGAAAATAATGTTCACAAGATGTACGTTGTCGTATTTGACTTTTTCTTCCCCAAGTCCTTTTTGCAATGGCAGCCTACGTTTTTAATTGAATGATTGCGTATTTGATATGAAAATTGAGGACCCAGGCAGTCACATTCTAATCACATGAGATTGCCATGAACAGAAAGCGGCTTTTGCACTTTCGAATTCGATAGGAAGTTTCTTTACGCTCAAATCCTCTACTTATTCATATCTTAAAAAGTCGGTAATTCGCAATTGATCCAAAGACTTGTGATAAGTGACTCAATTAAGAATTCGTAACCTGAAATGAATTGGTAACTTCACTAAGAGAAAAGTTGATAGCTAACTCAAATGAACGTGAGTATTTCCTTATAAGAGTTGATGACAGTTACTTGTCACTTTTATTTTTCAATTAACATTATTCGGAATTTACGAAATGTTTCTAGAAATTTACCCATATGAAACTTTTTTCTATTTTTTTTGTTTTTCAAATGGAATGCTTGAATTCTACTTCTTTTTTCTTTGCTTTTTTTGAGTCGACAGATTTTGCTTATTCATATATGAGATTTCATATCATCTGCGAGCTAAAATATCATTATTTCTTGAATATTGGTGTTTTCGTAAGTTTGTTAATGTGATTTTCTCAGTGACGAAGTGGAGAATTCGCCCCGTCTTTAATTGCACCGATTGCATACCTAAGGGCCGCAGAAGGGCTGCCGGCCCGGGATATCAGGTGAGTCCCAAAAAAAATAATAATAAATCCGGCGTCACAACTCATCTAAAGTCACATACAATGATTTTATCATATGGTCCTTTCGTGCTACAAAAAGCTCTTTGGATGTATTCCCCCACAAATTAAATTATATATTTCTAAAGAAGAGGCTTTGATAATTTAATGCAACACTAATTTAATTTACTCAGTACAACATTTCACGATCCGGCCAGGCTGTCATATGTTGTCTTTTCCCTCCCATAACTTTCGAATGGCTGTAAGGAAGTCATTATTCAATAACTGTTTTCGCCCACCCAATTCTCTTTATGTGAAACATTAAGGCCGCTGGGAGATTGTTGTATAGATAACTCTGTTCCCCCCCACCCTCATTGTCTATTTGTTTTATCAAAGTGAGTCACATGCGAGTCTTGGGAAATTGCCTGAGAATAGAACTTTCGATTTGACATGCTTATGCTCGTGGAGGCATATGGGTCCCCTAGACTTAAACCTGAGGACAAGAGGGAATAGTCGGCGACGGACCGGAGGTGGCCTTTAGGCAAGAGATGGCCGACGGCCTCGCGTGAGGGTTGGCGATCCCAGCCGCGAACCGGTGAGGGTCTCTCGACAAATGATGGTGCCAAAGCTTGTTCTTGCGAGGAGCGTTGCATTGTCAGACGACCTCCCCTTTTCCATACCCTATACGTTGCTCCTCTTGATGTTGGTGTCTCAACAAATCTCAACCATTGATAAAACCCTCATTTTCTTAATTAAGAGTTGAAATTTATTGAGACATCGGAAGGAATACCATGTAGGTTGAGGATCCATGTCCTCATGTCCTCTCTCTCTTTCTCTCACGTGAAAATTCAATAATCAGTTATATATCTTCGTGTATTAACCTTTTTGAATAGAGACTTCGTCATAAAACATAATTACTCATGAACACGATAAGTTAACAATATGATGTCTGCCGAGATCATTCCAAAATAACAATCCCACACAGTACTTACATTGATAACGTAGCTTTGCTACTGCCTACTGACGTGTTATATTTACACCGGAGTAAACCTTTGATTGATATTTACTTAGCTCTTCCTTCTCTGTGAATTAGAAAAGTTTCATCACTCATTCATCACAGCTCATGGAGCACTTTCACGGGGTATCTTCTCCAGCATGCATAATAATGCAACAGCATAAGAATCAGAGGATGAATATTCTCGTAGCAATTTACATAAGATAATCAATTTTTCCTGTACAAAAATATAGCAACGAATGAAGAGATAAATACGCTAGATCCATAATTTCACATCAATAGCTCAGCCAATTGCAACAATTATAGCGACACATTGAAAAGTACCAGCAATGATAGCAGCCACCACTTCTGCGTAGGTTCGTGGCCAGGACATTGACTGCTTACTTGGTTATTGCAATACACACGTTTCGAGAAAAGCCAAAGATGCTCGAGTTTTTTATTTCTTTAGTACAAAATGTTTATTGAATTATTTATCTTCACTCGTTCTTTAAAAGAGAAATAACATAAAAAGCCTCTAAATTTTGATCTAATATATAGTATCATTTTTTTACCAAAAAAAAAAGAAAAGACGAAGTCACAAGGGACACGTGTCACCATATTTTGGTACGCCAGGTCACTTTTGCACGTACACGTCACCATCTTCTTTTTGGCTCCCCCACCATCAGCGCTCCAAGCTGAAACCAATGAAATCTCCTCCTTCACCGCTGTCTTTTGCACTTTCTCTCTCTTTAATAAGGATTTTGTCCTTGGCAAAAATTTAAAAAAAGATTAAGGATTTTATCATTTTCAGAAAAATCATTAAAAAAATCTTAAAGCTATTATAATTGAGAGAATTCAATTTTAAATTTTTTTTGTTTACCAATTGAATCCTAAACATTTTGCATTTGTGTAAATTCAATCAATTTGACCAATTTTGGCTTGCCAGCTCCAACATGTTGCGACCAGTACTGACGTGGCATGGCTGACATTGACATAGATAATTTTTAATAAGTTTTTATTTTTTAAAATATTTGAATTTTTTCTTTTTCTTTTTTTTTTATTTTCTCTCTCTTTCTTGTTTTCTTTTCCTTCCTTCTTCCTCTGGCTAGCGAGGTCAATCTCACCGACCACTAGTGAGGCAAACCTTGCCGGCTAAGGCGAGGCTCGCCTTAGCTGGGAGAGTGCAAGCTTGCCAGATCCAACGAGCGTGTGCATTGAAAATGATAGGGAAAATTTTTTTAAAAAAAAGTTCTACTCCTAAACCTTCTTTTTATTAAATACAACTGTGAATAAATTGTGTGTCAACTACTCTGCATCAAGGGCATTTGCATCGGCCAAAGCCTAGACTCAATAGACTGCTGAAACTTATAGGGTGTTTCATAGATCTTCATATTGCGAAATCTCCGTGCCCATTCACCTATGCAACGATTGAAAAAAGCGTTCCGGAATACCCGTTAACCTGGGACAGCTGTTTTGACGAGAGAGCGAGTAAAACCTGGGAACCAGATTAAGAGAATCCGTGCTCACCTGCACCAGTTATAATCTCCTCATCATCATTTCTTTTTGCCACTTCTTTGCTCTGTTTCGAGGAGTTTGATGGCCCATGAAGAGACTGCTCAAAGTGTGCAACGCACCCAGCAGATGCAGTGCAATTATCTGTCGTTATTACTTATTCGTATTAGTCCAGTCAGGACATGTCTTTTTGTTTCTTGAGAATCTGAAGATCCAAATTCTTGTGTCCTCTCCCCAAAGTGTCTGTTCGGACACTCCTCTCTTCTGATTCTCTTGCATATTCCACTTCACACTCCGGTCGAATCTTGATTGAGGGATGAATTTCTTCATCTCTCCTTCATCTGAACCAGATCGGCTGTGATCCATTTCGAACCGGCGATAGTTCAGGCCCGGGGTGAGTCATCACGAAGTCAATGTTATTCAGTGAACGCCACACAAAATTATTGTAGTGAACATGATGAGAGAGTAGTTACAATGGTATCTGTTTTGGCGCCCCATCTCAATATAAACTTACTATTGACGAGGGACACGAAAATAATGTTCACAAGATGTACGTGGTCGTATTGACTTTGCAATGGCAGCCTACGTTCTAATTGAATGAATGCGTGTTCGATATGAATGTTGAGGACCCAGGCAATCACATTCTTATTACGTGAGATTGCCATGTACACTGAACAGGACTCGATGTCGACTTCCTGCGGAGGCATTTCGGTTGAATAAGCAGATTCAAGTTGAGTAAACTTTGAAAAGCAGCTTTGCACTTTTGAATTCCTTGGACCGAAAGTTCTTTGCGCTCAAATCTTACTTATGAAAAGCTTAAAAAGTCGGTAACTGCAATTGCTCCAAAGACTTATAATAAGTGACTCAAATAAGAACTTGTAACCTGAAATAAATTGGTAACTTCACTAAAAGAAAAGTTGATATATAACTCAAAAGATGGTGGGTACTTCCTTATAAGAGTTGATGACAGTTACCCGTCACTTTTTTCCTCGGTTAACATTATTCAGAATTTATAAACTTTTCTAGAAATTTACACCTATGAAACTTTTTTCTGTTTTATTTTTTTTTCAAATGGAATGCTTGAATTCTGCCAATTCATATAGGAACTTTCGTAATTGCCTATAACAAAGTCTTGCCTTTGAGCTAGAGTATCATTATTTCTTGAATATGGGTGTTTCCGTGAGATTATTAATGTGATTTTTTCAGCGACGGCGCGGAGAATTCACGCCATCTTTAATTGAGCCAATTGCAACCATACTCCACAAGGGGCCCGGTACCAGGTAAGTCCAAAGAAAAAAAGAGGAAAAGTCACATGCAATGATTTATCATATGGTCACTTTGTGCTACAAAAGCTCTTGGGATGTATTCCCCCACA